GTTGCCGTTGTTATTGTTGCGGCGATTATTGTTGCTTTCTTCTCATGTTTTTCAATTTCCATTTTGCTCTATGCAATTTTTATGCGCACTTTTCAACGACTTTATTTTATTGACTTTTTTCCTCAGCCCCCTCCGAGACTTATTGCTTGAGCTTCATACGAGCTCCGTTTACATGCGAAAGCTTTAGAAGACATCCAAATGGAAATGAATATATTTGAAGTGATATTGCTGTAAATGAATATGTATTAGTATAATTGTTTTCACAGCTTTCAGCAGGCGTAAGCGGATAATAAAACCCGGGGTTGGCTCTTTAAATGTCATTTCATTAAGTAGAGTAAACATTACATTAATTGGGGGCAGTCCAAGTTGATGATTGTTGTTGTAATGAGACGAACAGCACAGATTATGTACATTAGTCCAACGTCCCTTGATGTGTACAAACAGGGATCCCATTGAATGAGGTTGAAAAGTTTGCCGACGTGCTAGTGAAATGAAGTCTAGGATGGTTTTTTCCAATGAGATGTGATACATATATTTTAGTCAAAGAAATAATGCTATTTTAGAATAGGTAAGTAACAGATTTCATGAAGCTACGGAAAGGGAATTTTCTCTTTGTTAATTTAAAACGGGTTTTATAAAAGGTTCAATCATATATACAGCGGTATACTTGTAGTCATTGAAAAAGAATAAATATCGATTCAAACCTTTAAAGTAGGCATGACAAGAAATAATTTCGAGTTTCGAGTACTGTTAAATATCCGGTGGTTAGTTTTAGCCTAAATAGGAAGAAAATATTGAATGCAAACTTGAAATCCTTGTTTTGGATCTTATTTAGATATTAGATATTATTTAGATTTTCTAGAATATAAATGCGCTCAAATAGGTCACGAGGGAAAGTCAAAATCGCGCGAGGTGGCTCGTTGGTGCAGCCAGGGACTGCCAGTCCAGTAGTTCATAAGTTACCCCAAATCGTTTAGCACCTCCATAGATTTCTGTGGATGTTAGAGGAACGCTTTAAGTCTTGGAACCCCACCAGTACAGAACGTTCCACAACTATCATGGGATTGTGTGAATATTGATATTCGATATAGGCTGCTAGTCCCAGTTTTTTCACGACTTTAAATATTTAAATTTTAAATATAAGTAAAAGTAAATGGGCAGTTAAAATGTTTATGAATGTTGTCAAATCCACTGTATTGTAGAGTTTTTCTCAGTTGGGACGCACTTGGGAGCTTAATGAGCCTAACGATGGCTTAAGTACCGAAAGTTTGAAGCATCTAATAAATATTTCTCTCTTGCGAATATTCCTTCAGGCACTTTTAAAATGAAAACTACATCGTCCGACTGCGCTCTAATTGCGCCGACTGTATAAGTAAGAATAAGTTTAGGTGTTGGAACTCAATGTTAATCCGATATCTCCATCCATCCATTTTATTTGGAAAGAATTTATTATACGAAAAATATACTCTAGCACCTTCTATTTAACGAATATATGAAAGGACGACTAGAGAACAATTATTGTTTTCATAACCAACAGCAGTGTAAAAAACATCAGACTAAAGAAGAAATTAATTTCGATTCAAACATATTAAGCTTTTGCCCGGTTGAAGAGCTTATCGAAAACACTCGACTGTTTACTAAATCAAGAAAAAGAAAACTTCAGATTCTGTGAACCTTCTCCGTATGCTCTCAGTACTGTTACGTTTTTATACACGCTGCCCTTCCTGCAGCCAATAGTTAGCTGCATCACTTCACTCCTTTACGGCCAACATATGTTAGTCATATAAACGTTTATGGTCTTAAGAAGTGGGTTTTTGCATTGAAGCCTGCCGCTGCTTTTGTTTCGTGCTCTCTTTATGCGTTCAAATACCTTCAATAGCTGGCTCATCACAATCGGCAAAGCAGATAAACTTCAACAGTACGGTCATTGCCACGCTGAGCGGTGATACTTCATTTCAATCTTCAGTCAACAAGCTTGCGTACTTGAAGGCCCGTGCACATATTTATATACATATATATGCGTATTTGCACAAGCTTAGTCACACTTTTATCCTGTCGGTGCTTTTAAAATTTTTATTTTATGTTTTGTCTCCACCTCACATTGTGCTTGTCCCATATCGGCATTAACAGCCACATCATCGTTTAATCCTGATTTTCTTTATCCTGTTTTTATTTTCTCTATTAACATTGACATCATCATCGTCTTCATTGCTGTCATTACAGTACTTTCCAGCATCAAAGGCAAGTTGCCGATTGTACGTGAATAAGTACAAGCACTCGACTTCCGCACTCCTCCCCCTCGCTCCTATTCGGTACAAAGCTAGTCTCTTTAGAATTATATTTTTGTCCTACAACGATTGTTGTTTGTCACAGCGAAAAACTTGTCGTCATGCATGCGTACATATCCGCATGGTCGGCATTAAGTTGATCCTTAAATATAATTACAGCTTTTGTACCAGAGAAAAGGGTTAACCGCAATGGAATCAAAGTAATCATACTTGTAGATACATATGACACATAAAGTTGGGCAACGAAAGGAGACTTCTTACATAAAGGTCCAAACTCAGATTATTCTGCATTCCAGTCCATGCAAAAACACAATTTTTTTTGTGATATATTTGGCCATATTTTACACCTGTGATATGGCACAGATTCACTTTACAAATGGCACCATAATAAAAACTATTTCTAAAGCGGACAATGTCAAACCACCGAGTGCATTTGTGCCTTAAAACGGGTTCGCATAAAAACTTTGGAATGCTTTACAATTAGGAAGGCCGGACAAAGTAAATGGTAAAGATGTAAGCACTAAATATATATTTTGTGGAGGAAAATATCACAAAATCATTGTGTGTGTGTTTTTAGAAGCACCCTAACATGTACGCGTGTGCCATGAGATCTCGGAGGGTTTCTTTTTGATGAAGTTTCCACACGATAAATGCGTCGGGCGGATTTAATTGTGTGTATGGTATATTCAAGCGTTCACTGGAAGCGCTTGGGATATACGAGTATATTTTTTTAAATCTTGTAATTGCTTAGTGCACTACTTAGTCTTAATATAAATTATTGTAAAACACGCTTGAAGCTTGTTTAAAGAACACGGTATCGCAAATTTCAAATAAACTATGACGAACAAGAAAATATGACTACTTTGAATGCGTTAGCTGTCGACGAAGGCTATAATCCAAAACATTTTTATCTGCAATAACCCCAAAATCTTTTATAAACTGAAATGTAGGAATAATTTTCAATTTTTTAAGAAACAATTATTTCGCAAGTCTCTTGAACATCAGATTCTTGAACATATTGGTTACACCGAATTTTTAAGAATCAATACTCAAAAATGCAAGTACTTAAGAATACGTTGAATGCAAAATAGTGTTCCTCAAGTTTAGAATGACTTTCAAAGCCCTTTTTAAACCAAATTGAGACTGTTAGCCTCGACCTCAGTATCAATTAACTAAATAAAAAAATTACGACTGAAATTTCTCAACTAATATATGGATATATTCAGCTTTGCCATTGATTTGCTAGGTTGACTAGGTTTAGCACATGATTTTTTGCGTTTAGGGTTGTCATAATTGCTTCCTTTTTTATCACCAGGCACGATTTGATGCTAAAACGACCTACTTTGTAGCGTTCAAGCAGCATTGCAGCAGGCATGCAAAAGTGTCTTTCAACGTCTTTTGGCTTCAATTGATTTGACACCGATTTGCGTGCTTTCAAATGTATCTTCTGCTTCAAATGAATGTCATATAATAAAAAAGACGCAGTTGGACAGTAACTTTCCAACGCGTGTTCGGAATATTGGAACAATGGAATAACAATCAAGTTACGTCATCTCTCGGCAAGCCGCACGAATATAGTTATAGACCCAAACATCTAATATATCTGTTTGAGTTTAAGCATAAGTTGGAAAAAAAATTAAACTAAAATGAAATAATCATCATAAATCGAAAGTGCTCTAACGACCAGACAGTTTTTCTTATGTGTGTGGAGGTTTAATTTTTAGATCTCAGCGTCGTATAAACCCTGAGTTTCACATAGCATAAATGTTGTGTGACGTATGTGAGACTGTTCGGTTGGGCTACACAAGAACCCAGACATATGTCACTTGCTATACCAATGATTTGGACCAAACGAAAGGATCATGTAAGTGATTGCCATTTTCAACAAACCCATCCTAAAAAAAATGTTGAAAAAGCTATATCTGAAAGAGATATTCCCTAAACTCAGTGAGGCAAAAATTAAAGAGGGAATATTTGTAGGTCCACAAATATGGCAACTGATAAAGGAAAAAAGCTTTGAAGAAAAACTGAATGGTCAGAAAAGGTCGCCTGGAAATGTTTTGTGAACGTTGTCCAAAATTTTCTAGGAAACCATAAATTGTAAGATTACAAACACTTAATAAGTGAACTTATAATGTCACATAAAGCTTTAGAGTGTAATATTTCCAGAAAACTACATAGGCGGGATTCTCATCCGGATTTCTTTCCGGCAAATTTGTGTGCTGTGAGTGACCATTTCCCTAATGGAGAACCGCCATCAATGCTAGCATGGTTATTGTAGGAGACTTAAAAAAGACCTCTCAGAAGCCAAATATTTACGTAAATCATGAATATTATATTTGTACTAAGAAATTTCTCTAAATGTAGCTGATGTTTGTACTTTTTAAAAAAAATATGTGTTTTGATGTCACTAGCAAACCTGAGGTGTCATTTTTTTTTTCATTGACATATTATTGTTTAGTGAGTTTTCATGTGACTAAAAAGTTAAAATTTTGTTAACTAGTGTTAACGTAAGGAAATAGGACAAGGAAAGTTATTACTCTCTCTTACCAGAATTATATGTCGCGGCATTTTTTTTTTAATAATAATTGATAAATTAACGCAAAAAAATATTAAATGAAACATATATGACTAGTAATCAACAATTTATAGTTATAAGGCTAAGTCAGCTGTCAACTGTCAGCTGTAACACAAGCTTCGAAATTTTCTTACCTTTTTATTTATACGCCACAAGATTTTCGCTGGCAACGTAGAAAGTTAGCATTCGATATATAAAAAAACTCTGCAAAAAAGGAAAATATTTATTAATATTATTTAGAAGAACTCATAAAAAGTATAGAAATTGTAAAAGGTGAAGTTGTTTTACATAGTTTAACGGCAGATAACGGTTATGTTTAGAGTTACTTTCAAGTTAAATTAAAAACAAGAACGAAGCGGTAACTTCGGCTGCACCGAAGCTAGAATACACTTCACAAAGAAAGAAGTTTTCATACAAGAACTGAGTTTAGATCGGTTTGTTTGTATGACAGCTATGTATATACTACAGTAATCTGATCTGAACAATTTCTTCGGAGATTGTACCATTGCCATAGGCAATAATCGATCGTTCAGTTTGTATGGCAGCTAAATGCTATAGTAATTCGATCTGGAAATATTTTTCGAAAATTGAAGCGTTGCCTTGGACAATAATGAATGCCATATCTCCACACAAAAATTTGATTTCGATCGTTTAATTTGTATGCCAGCTATATGTTATAGTAGTCCGATATCGGAGGTTCCGAAAAATGAGCAGCTTCCTGGGAAGAAAATGACATGTTTAAAATTTCAGATGGATATATCAAAAACTTAGGGACTGATTCGCGTACATACAGACAAACTGACGGACATGGCTAAATCGACTCAGCTCGTCATGCTGATAATTAAATATATATCTTATATATATATTCTCCGACGTTTTCTTTTGGATGTGACAAGCAACATGTCAAACGTAGTATACCCTGTTCAGGGTATAATAATATCATTTTCAATTCTATGAGGGAATAGTGTAAAAACAACGCACCAATTTGAGATGCAACGGAAAGACCCCTCACCTGTCACTTATGGCATATGCGTCACACACGCGCATAAATATTTTATGTCGTTTAATATGTCGGACTTTTATGCAAATGTAGTAGTGCATTTACATATACGAGTGTGTGTGTGTACGTGTGAGTTAGCATAAGTTTGGCGGCTTGTAAGTTGGTGAGTTGGCACAAAAAAACGCATGCAACGCATAATTTAAATTAATTAAAATTCACAACTGCCACTGCAACATTTTGTGGCACATTACCTAAAAGGATGTGCGCGGCTACCTACCCCAGCTACGAAACAATAATATATATATATACTATATACTATGTATATATATATATATATTAATAATATGTATATATTTTTTCCGATTTTCTCCGTTGAAATTGCGGCAAACGCTTTGCTTCAGTGGCAACTAGCGAAAAGTGCCACGGCAGGATTGTAATTATTTGCAGCGCACCAGCGTGACAAGGCTGTTGCGCTGTAAGTGGGAGAGGGGGTGGTGAGGCTGCCTAACTTTCACTATACTTTACGTTCGTTCATTTGCTACACCATTTATACTACTTTCAGGAAGTTGCAAGCTTTTCATGGCTGCTGCAACAATGTCAGCCGTGCGGATTTGGCTTATGGCAGTTTTTTTCTTTGAATAAATATTTCATATTCACATTTTTATTTTTGCTGTTCTACAAAATGAAGTTATGACAAGTTGGTAATTATGTTAAAGTACAAAAGTTTCGACAACGAGTTGACGCTTCTTTGCCTTTGCCTTTATGCACTTTTTACACGCTGCCCTTTAGACCTTGCCTCGACGCAGCGAGCTAATGACAGTCGCAGCTTGTAATGGTAGTGGCGTTAGTGAGCTAATGAAATTCTTTGCATAAATCAAAGTAGCGAAGACAAAGCAATGCGGAAATCTAGTTGGTTAAGTTTTAATGAGTTTCTTGTCAATTATACGAAGATATGAAATTAATTACTGCGACGCCAGCAAAAAAAAACGAATTCGACAATAATTGTGCGCTGTAAATATTGGAAATACCTCGAGGAGCAACTAACGGCATTGCTGTGTTAAGTCCATCCTCAAGGATATTGATGGCTTTTTAAGCCTGCCTATTATCTTAGCAGCAGTGCGAATGTTTATGCTCGGGCCAAAAGTCAATGGGGAAGCAGTAAAAATTGAAAAATTACTGCCAGCATAATCATCAGCAGTTGTAGCATATTTTGCGGCGCCAATAGACACATACAAACACAAAATGCTACCTATGCGCCTCTCCACCAACCGCAGAGTTATCAACTGCTAGTCAATTCCAAAAATTGCCAAATAGCTGGCAACTTAACACAATGTTGGCCCCGAAATGCCAAGCAATGAACAATCAATTGCTTCAGTCCGACCAGCGCAGCCAGACAAAAAGCAGCCAACAGGCCAACCGACAACTCAACGATCTAACGAGACAATTAAATGGTCGGTGGAGAGCGGCAGAACCAACTGCACCAACTCCATACACACATACACAAGCACATGCCCACGTGCGCTGTAATATTACAAGGACGAGTTGTTTTGCTGTGAATATTTATTGGTGGGATTGTGTGGTAAAGAGCCGACGACGCCGACGACTTCTGCCGCTCGTTTGGTTGTATGTTCGTGTGCTGTTGCAATTGGCAATAAAACATGTCTATGACTGCAGAAGTTTAAGTGGTGAGGGCCTGACTATTACAACAACGACAGTAACAATAACAATTGCAGCTTTTACATGTGTTCACATATGCGTATGTGTAGGTGTGTGTGGCACTGTAAATTAAAGCGTGCAGGAGGAGTTGACAGCATGCAAGCCATATGCGACATTCTGTAGACAGTCATGCTCACATACACAACCATGCACACACACATACACATTACAAACATATACAAATACACATGCATACATACAATCGGCGAAGCGAACACACATTGCAAGACACCACAACGATTGACAACATAACAACAAACCAAAAACAACAATAGCAACAACAATAGTGGTGAAAACAAAAATAACAACAACGACAGCAGAGTTAGCAATTTTTGTGGCTTTTTGTTCGTGTTGGCATGCATTGGTTTTGGTTTTCATTGTTGCAAGCAACAACAACAAAGCGCAAATTTTTTATGTATGCTCCTCCAAGCAACCATTGTCAACTGCTGCAGTAACTAAGATAATTGTTGACCAAACGAAAGCAAAAAAAAATTAGGAGACACGGTGTGTCGAAGAACTTCTAAACAAGAATTAATGAGATCGATAATACCGGAACTCGGCACTCAAGCTATTTTATGCGATATTGAAAATTGTATATATATAAAGGGAACCGAAACGTTATATACGTTGGAAAGGAAGAACCCAACATTTTTTATTAAAGCAATAACTCACCCTTTTTGCTACAGCAAATATGTTGGACAAATAATTAAATAATTCGACAAAAGAATGGGCGCAAACAGAGCGCACTCTTGAGAGCCAACAAAGTCCTTACTTATGTTCTAGGAGAGTTGAATTACGAGTTATTGATCTAGAATAAGGTTGTAGAATCGATCCAAGGGAATCTTAAACAGATCTCAGTAAATTGTGTGGCAATTTAAACAAGTCAAAACTAGCCTTTAGCCAAAAAGCATCGCATTTTGGTAGAAGTTTGCGATGAACATAGTCTATCTGAGCGCGTATACTAAATGAGGTTTGCACCATTTATAAGTGGTGATATTGGCTTGGATGACGAAGAATGTCCTGGGCGGCCAAAAAATTTGTCTGATGAAGAACTGTAAGCATTACTCGATGAAGATAATGAGTCACTTAAGCAGCCTTTTCAAAACGTTTGAAAGCAGACGGCTGCTTTTAAAAGCACGCAAATTGGGTGTCATATCAATTGAAGCCAAAAGACCTTGAAAGACACTTTTGCATGCCTGCTGCAATGCTGCTTGAACGCTACAAAGTAGGTCGTTTTCGTATCAAATCGTGCCTGGTGATAAAAAAGGAAGCAATTATGACAACCCTAAACGTAAAAAATCATGTGAGAAACCTGGCCAACCGGCCAAAACAACGGCAAAGCTGAATATCTATGATGTCAAGATAATGCTCTGTATTACGTTGAATCAGAAGGACGTGCTGTACTATGAGCTTCTAAAACCGGGTGAAATCATTAATGGAAAACGCTACCGACAACAATTCATCAAATTGGAACGAGTGATTGCCGAAAAGCACGATAAGTTTTGCCTCACCCGCCTTTAGCCCAAACCTTGAACCCCCGTTCCTTCAGCCCCCGTTGTGCTACCAGTTTTAAATCAACTTAAGGTTATTATTAATATTAAAATGATCACATCATATCATTTCATTTTCAATTCTTCACAAGCTCCAAAGCACAAATCTCGCAAGCAATAAACTTTTTGCCTGACAACCGATTGACTTGGACGCACAGTGCAGCAATAAGAAAGCACGTGCTATAATCCAAACAACAATAGAACTAAAAGGCAAAAGGTAAAATAAGAGTTGGGAAACGAACAAATTGCATTTGGACGGTACAAAAAGCGAGACTTTGACAACGTGCCTACAGAGGTTGTTATACATAACGGATCTTTTTTTACCCAACAAATTAAAAGTTGTTTATGCGATGCAATGCGATACATATTGAACTGATGGACGGTCATGCAGCCAACAACAACGCAATAAACAATCAATGAACGAAATGGCGATGTACTTTTCAAGCGACGCAATGCACGTTCGAGCCCTTCAAGTCCTTCCGCATGCGTACGCCGCGCAAATGAATGGCAACAAATCAAACGATTGCGTTTCTAACGGACATTCGCTAATGTGTGGAAGTAGAGAGCGATGGAACTACACTTGTCATTCACGGATATCTGCTGGTCGAAAGCACGGCTTTGGCGCCAAGCCAGGACCTTGTATGTTGGTGAATGACAGCCAGGCGGTTGAAGGTGGAAACCAGTGTGGAAAACATGGAATATGAGTAATATCTGCTGGTTGCCATTAGAGGGGTGCCGCACTATCAGACAATTACGAAAGTCTGCAGTTGAAATTAAGAGCATGGCAGAGGTCGCTCCAACACAAAGCTTAGCAAATTTTCTTTGCATAGATATCGGTGTATTTTAGGGCGCACATCAACTTTTCCAATACTGGAGTGTATGATTTGTGATTGATTGATTGCTTTTCGGTCAGAGCGGGTTTGAGGTTGGCAAATGCT